TTCTAACTGTTCCTTCTTGACCTGCAGACATGTTTCTCAGGAGGCAAGTAAGATGGTCTGGTATTCCCATCTCTTTAAAAATTCTCCACAGTTTGCTTGATTCACAAAATGGGTTTAGCACAGTCAATGGAGCAGAAGTAGATTTTTTGTGGAATTTTCTTGCTTTTTCTTTTAACAATATGAAAAGCAAAAGTATATGCTAAAAGTTTGTCAGTTTTGTCTTCTCAAAGAACCCATTTTTAGTTTCATTGATCTTTTCTATCATGTTCTTTCTTTATTTATTTATAATTATTTCTATTTATTTCTAATTCATTTATTTCTGCTCAGATTTTTTAATTTCTTTCCTCATGCTATCTTTGGGTTTTGTTAGTTTTTTCTTTCTCTAGTTGTTTTAGGGGTAAGGTTAGGTTGTTTATTTGAGATTTTGTTGTTTCCTGAGGTAAGAGTGTATTTCTATAAACTTCCATATTAGAACTGTTTTTGCATAGCTTTTGGAATGTTGTGTTTTTGTTTCATTGTCTCCAGTTATTTTTTTTTGTTTTAATTTCTTCTTTGATTTCTTTAGTGATCAATTGGTTCTTGTACAATGTCGTTTAGCCTCCACATGTTTGTGATTTTTAGAGTTTTTATTTTCTTGTAGTTAATTGCTAATTTGATAGTGTTTTGGTGAGAAAAGATGCTTGATATAATTTCAGTTTTCTTAAATTTACCAAGACTCATTTTGTGGCCCAGTATGTGGTCAATCTTGGAGAATGTTGGTTGAGCACATGAGAAATATATGTATTCTGCTGCTTTTGGTTAGAAAGCTCTATAAAAATCAGTTAAGTTTATCTGATCTAATGTGTCCTTCAAGGCCTATTTTTCCTTATTGATTTTCTGTCTGGATGTTCTGTCCATTGGTGTAAATGGGCTAAATCCCCCAGTATTATTGTTACTATCTATTTCTCCCTTTATGGCCATTGATACTTGCCTTATATATTGAGATTTTCCTATGTTGTGTGCATATATATTTGTAATATCTTACTTTTGGCTCGATCTCTTGATCATTATAAAACGTCTCTTTTGTCTCTTGTAAAGGTTTTTATTTTAAAGTATTTCTTCTGATTTTAGTATTGCAATTTTAACTTTCTTTTGCTTTCTGTTTGCATGGATTATCTTTTCATAACCCCTCACTTTCTGTTTGTATGTGTCCCTAGGTCTGAAGTAGGTCTCTTGTAGCAGCATATATACAAGTCTTGTTTTTGTATCCAGGCAGTCAATCTGTGTCTTTTGATTGGAGCATTTCATCTGCTCATGTTTAGGGTAATTATCTATATGAATATTCTTATTGCCATCTTGTCAATTGTTTTGGATTTGTTTTTATAAGTGTATTTTCTTCCCTTCCTCTTTTGTTCTTTTCTCTTGTGATTTGATAATTAATTTTAGTGCTGTGTTTTGATTCCTTTGTGGGTGTGTGTGTGTATCTATCTATTGTTGGTTTTCAGCTTGCATTAACATTAGGTTTAATATGGCAGCCTATATATGAAACTCCAATATTTTGGCAACCTCATGTGAAGAGTTGACTAATTGGAAAAGACCCTGATACTGGGGGCAGGATGAGAAGGGGACAACAGAGGTTGAGATAGCTGGATGGCATCACCGACTCAATGGACAAGAGTTTTAGTAATCTCCGGAGTTGGTGATGGACGGGGGGTCCTGGCATGCTGCAATTCATGGGATTGCAAAGAGTCGGACACGACTGAATGACTGAACTGAACTGATATATGAATAAGGTTGTTTTAAGTTGCTGGTCTTTTAATTTCAAATGCATTTCCCATATCCTGCATTTGTGTTCTTCTCTAACAATTGCTGGTTTTAAAACCATATTTGTGTGTGGATGATTTTCTAACTTTACTATGTGTTTGCCTTTACTAATAAGCTTTTCCATTCATAAGTTTCTTGTTTCTAGTTATGACCTTTTCTTTTTCCAATTATAGATGTCCCTTCAGCATTTGTTGCAAAGCTTATCTGGTGGTACTGAATTCTTGTTTCTAGTTGTGTCCTTTTCCAATTAGAGAAGTCCCTTTAGCATTTGTTGTAAAGCTGGTCTGGTGGTGCTGAATTCACTTAACTTTGCTTGTCTGTGAAGCTTTTGATTTTTTCATTGAACTTGAATGAGTGTCTTGCTGGGTAGAGTACTCTATGCTTCAGTTTCTTCCCTTTCATGACTTTAAATATATCTTGCCACTCCTTTCTCACTTGCAGAGTTCCTGCTGAGAAATCAATTCATAACTTTATGAGAATTCCCTTGTATATTATTTGTTACTTTTTCCTGGTAGCTTTTACATATTTTTCTTTGTCTTTAATTTTCTCAGTTTGGTTACTAAATGTCTCGGTATTTTCCTCCTTGGATTTATTCTGCCTGAGACTCTGTGCTTCCTGGATTTGGGTGACTTTCCTTTCCCATGATAGGGAAGTCTTTAGTTACTATCTCTTCAAATATTTTCTCAGATCCTGTCTCTCTCCCTTCTACTTCTGGAACACCTATAATGTGAATATTGATTCATATAATGTTTTTCCAGATGTTTCTTAGGCTGTTTTCATTTCTTTTTCTTTATTCTATTCTGTGGCAGTGATTTCTGCTCTTCTGTATTCCATATCCATTCTTCTGCCAAAGTTATTCTGCTGTTGATTCCTTTTAGTGTATTTCTCATCTCAGTTATTGTATTTTTCATGTTTGTTTGTTCTTTAGTTCTTCTAGATCTTTCTTAAATATTTATTGCATTTTCTTGATCTTCACCTTTATTCTTTTTCTGAGATCCTGGATCATCTTCACTGTCATTATTCTGAATTATTTTTCTGAAGGTTGCCTACTTCACTTAGTTGTTCTGATAGTTGTCACTTTATCTGAGAGATACTTCTTTGCCATATTGCTTTGTCTAAATTTCTGTGATTGTTGTTTCTGTTCTGCAGGCTGTAGGATTGTAGTTCTTCTTGCTTCTTCTATCCATCCTCTGGTTGATGAGGCTATCTAAGAGCCTTGTGTAGGATTCCTGAAGGTAGAGATTGGTGGTGAATGGAGGCAGTTCTTGTCCTTCTGGTGGGCAGGGCTGTATTCAGTAAGACTTATAGCCACTTTTCTATTGATGGATGGAAGTATGTTCCCCACCCTTTTGCTTGTTTGGCCAGAGATTTCCCAGCACTCCTGCCTATAGGCTGTTGGTGGGGCCAGTTGCAACCTCTGGGGTATCTCACACTAGTGAGTGCCCCCCTATAATTGTTGCTACAAGTGTCTTTGCCCCCACAGTGATTCCCAGCCCTACCACTCCATGAAAGACCCTCCAATACCAGCCAGTATGTCTGGCCCAGTCTCTTATGGGGTCACTGCTTTGTTTCCCTGGGTCCTGGTGCACATGGGTCCTTGTGTGTACCCTCCAAGAGTAGAGCCTATTTCCCCCAGTCCTGTGTAATTCTTTCAGGCAAACACTGTTAGCCTTCAAAGCAAGATTCTCTGGGGTCTCTTTTGCCTGTTGCCAGATACTCATGCTGGGAAGCCTGAAGTGGGTCTCAGAACCTTTACTCCAGCGGGAGAACTTTTTTTTTTTTTTTGGAATTTGTTTTAATATTTATTTCAAATAATCACAAAGTTACTAAAATAAATATCTGCATTCGTATTCCTGGTCCTCATCAAAATAATAGCATTTTGCTATGTTTCTTTTTGTATTGTACATACATTTTTTTTTTTTTTTTTTACTTTTTTATTAGTTGGAGGCTAATTACTTTACATCATTACAGTAGTTTTTGTTATACATTGATATGAATTAGCCATGGATTTACATGTACTCCCCATCCCAGTCCCCCCTCCCACCTCCCTCTCCACCCGATCCCTCTGGGTCTTCCCAGTGCACCAGGCCCGAGCACTTGTCTCATGTACCCAACCTGGGCTGGTTATCCGTTTCACCCTAGATAATATACATGTTTCAATGCTGTTCTCCTGAAACATCCCTTGTGATATAATTGTTTTCCACTTTGTGAATCTTCCACATGGCAGGTATGGGATTTAATTTTATTGTGATTGTGTCCCTCTTCTCATTTCATTGTGAATTTTTCTCTGGATGTAGGGTATCATTTTGGTACATTTTAGTGTCTTTTTGTGAATGGTTGTTTAGCAGTTAACTGTGATTCTGATGCTCTCATAAGAAGAGGAATCTTCCATTCCTCCATCTGCACACATTCTTTCTAAATTGGCAAATCTGGTGTGTGAATGTAATATGCACATGTGTCTGTATTTATGGGTTCACATGGGTATAGAAATGTGTGTGGTATTTAAGTGTGGAGGTTTGTGTATGAATATAGGTGAATTTATACAAGCATCATAAAAATTGCTTTATAATAATAAAAAATGTAATTATATTGGAAGGGCTGGCACACTTTCTGCAGTGATCTACTATGTTTTCTTTCTTTCTTTTTTTTTCCTCTCAGCATATGAGAAGGAGGCCAGTAAAAGTATGATGACTATTTTAGTGTTTCCTCCCCTCTATTCTTTTTTCTAAGCTAACTTTAGAGGCAAAATATCCCATTCTTCAGCAGAAGGGTCAACTAGGATATTCCCTAGAAAGTCATCCCCTGTAGCATTTCAGAGTGCTTCTTCTGACAATGTTGTCTTAGATGGGTTTTTAGTGCATGGTGAGATCCGTCTTAAAAAACTATCCAGAGCTCTTAATGGACACCAGAAGACATTAGCAAGAGTTTTGGTATTTTCCCAAATTTTTCATGTTATGCTCATTGTTTTCTCTGTTTTGAATTGAGAATCAGACCCATATTTAATGTTTTTTTTTTTTCAGATTTTCAACTTGTACATTATAAGATGAAGTTATTGCAAGAGTAGAAAATTAACTTTTGAAAGGATATTGTTCATAAATTAGACTCGGGTTTCCATTTGGTTTGTGCTGTATAGCATAGGACTATTAAATGTATCCTGTTTTCAATTACATTAAGAAATGATCCCTGTTTTAAATGGAATGGTTCTGGTTTTAGGTATAACAGCTGCAGCAATGGCTGAAGCAATGAAGCTGCAGAAGATGAAACTTATAGCTATGAACACTCTTCAGGGAAAAGGAAGCCAAAATGGAACTGAATCAGAGCCTGATGATCTTAATTCTAATACAGGTGAGTGTCTTTAGGAATCCAAGGCAGGTGACTCTCATTGACTTATTCTGGAATTGGAGAGAGGAGGACTGAGGGAAAGGAGAGAATAATATGTATACTTTGATTATAAGCAGTTACTACAAAAGGAGGGGGCTCCCCTGGTGGCTCAGTGGTAAAGAACCCACCTGGCAATGCAGGAGATGTAAAAGACGTGGGTTTGATCCCTGGGTCAGGAGGATCTCCTGGAGGAGGGCACAGCAATCCACTCCAGTAATTTTGGCCCCAGAATCCCATGGACAGAGGAGCCTGGCAGACTGCTGTTCACAGTGTCACACAGAGTTAGACACAACTGAAGCAATTTAGCACACATGAAAACACAAAAGGAGGTTTAATCCTACCTCTAACTTGTACATTGAAATTAGAAAACTATTATAGATCAAAATCTCATTTCGGGAAATATTTAGTATCTCCATTGTTTGTTGTGGTGGGGTTAAATTCTAATATTTATAGTGCTACCTATTACACCTTTTGCTTACTAAAAGATGTCTCCTTCAGTTTCAACCTTGCCTTCTTCATTTTTTTCTAAATTTAACACTGAAATGCGGCACTGAGAATCTACCTTTGTTTTGAGGTGCTGGGAGATGAGGCATTATCAGTAGGGGCTAAAGAAATGTGGTAGAACAAGAAGAAAACAAAGAAAAAAAGATGGGGAAAAAAGGAGATGAGAAAAATGCCTGTGAAATGGAATGTCCTTTCCCTTCTCAGTAACTGTTTTTTGTTTTTTTTTCCATTACCCTGTAAAAATTGTACCTTGACTTTGATCATAAGATCACCCTCGAGATCTCTTTAGGAAATAGGTGGGATTATAATTATCTGTGTAACACACATGAATGGATAAATAAATAGACACATAAATAAAGTATACTTTTAATAGGGAATAATAAGGGGCATCCAATGATGGTCTTAGGAGCTCCAAGCTTCCAATATGCTTTTGCAGTTAAATTCAATATAATTTGATAGGCAAATAGGTAGCAGCATTTTCTCCCTTCTATTAGGCTTCTAAAATTTAAAGCATTTTGGGGCTCTCTTTTGAAGAGAAAAGGGAAGAAGAATTAAAGAAATAAATTACTTAATCAAATCAACATAATATACTCATATAAAGTTGAAGTGTTCATGGAGAATTACAGAGTGAAAATTGGCCTTCAACCAGTGTTCACAATGGGGAATAAATGGAAACATGCTCAGCTTTACATTGTGTAAGTTTGAAATGTACAAAGTGTTGATTTGATGCACTTATATATTACAATATAATTATCAACAATAATGTTAACACCTCCATTATGTCATAATTATCATTTCCGTTTTGGTAGTGAGAACTTTTAGGATCAACTCTCTTAACAACTTTTAAGTATATAATACAATACTGTTAATTCTAATCACAGTGTTGTGCATTAGATCTACTGAAATTATCCATCTTCTATCTCTCATGTTAACTAATTTATTTCTTACCAAATTCCTGGGAAAATGGAATTTTCAAAATTTCCGTTTTGCAGATTGTGAAACAGAGGCACAGAGTGTTTCAGCTTTGCTGATAATCACAAAGCTAGTAAGTGGCAGAGCTCAGTTTACACCATATATAGTTAAGTCCAAAGTATGTACCCTTTTCACATTCTCCTCCACTTCAATGTTGTTTTGTAAGAGGAATTTTATTTTATTTAACCCTTGGAATACATTTTTAAAATTAATTTATTTATTTTACTTAGAGGCTAGTTACAGTGTTGTAGTGGTTTTTGCAATATATTGACAAGAATATGCACATGTGTCCCCCATCTTGAATCCCTCTCCCACCTCCTTCCCTATCCCATCCCTCAGGGACATCCCAATACACTGGCACTGAGGGCCCTGTCTCATACATTGAACCTGGACTGGTGATCTATTTCACATATTGTAATATATGTGTTTCCATGCTATTCTTTCACCCCCCCCCCTTCTCCCACAGAGTCCAAAATTCTGTTCTTTACATCTCTATCTCTTTTGCTATCTCACAAGTAGGGTCATTGTTACCATCATTTTAATTCCATATATATGTGTTAATATACTGTATTGGTGTTTCTCTTTATGACTTACTTTACTCTGTATAGTAGGTTCCAGTTTCATCCACCTCATTAGAATGGATTCTAATGCATTATTTTTAATACTGAGTAATATTCCATTGTGTATATGTATCACTGCTTTCTTATCCATTTGTTTGCCAGTGGACATCTAGGTTGCTTCCATGTTCTAGCTATTGTAAACAGTGCTGTGATGAACATTGGGATACATATGTCTCTTTCAATTCTGGTTTCCTCAGTGTGTATGCCCAGCAGTGGGATTGCTGGGTCATATAGCAGTTCTATTTCCAGTTTTTTAAAGGAATCTCCACACTGTTCTCCATAGTGGCTGTACTAGTTTGCATTCCCACAAACAGTGTTAGGAGGGTTCCCTTTTCTCCACACCCTCTCCAGCACTTACTGTCTGTAGACTTTTTGATAGCAGCCATTCTGACTGGGGAAAGATGATACCTCATTGTGGATTTGATTTGTATTTCTCTGATAATGAGTGATGTTGAGCATCTTTTCATGTGTTTGTTAGCCATCTGTGTGTCTTCTCTGGAGAAATGTCTGTTTAGCTCTTTGGCCAATTTTTTTATTGCATTGTTTATTTTTCTGGAATTGAGCTGAAGGAGTTGCTTATATATTTCTGAGATTAATTCTTCATCAGTTCCTTCATTTGCTAGTATTTTCTCCCATTCTGAAGGCTGTCTTTTCACCTTCCTTATAGCTTCCTTCGTTGTGCAAAATCTTTTAAGTTTAATTAGGTCACACTTGTTTATTTTTTATTCTATTTCCATTACTCTGGGAGGTGGGTCATAGAGGATCCTGCTGTGATTTATGTCAGAGTGTTTTGCCTATGTTTTCCTCTAAGAGTTTTATAGTTTCTTGTCTTACATTTAGATCTTTAATCCATTTTAAATTTATTTTTGCATATGGTGTTAGAAAGTGTTCTAGTTTCATTCTTTAACAAGTGGTTGACCAGTTTTCCCAGCATGGATACAAAAACAAGATCCCTATATATACAAGAGACCCACCTCAAAACAAGGGACACATACAGACTGATAGTGAAGGGCTTGAAAAACATATTTCATGCAAATGGAGACCAAAAGAAAGCAAGAGTAGCAATACACATATCAGATAAAATAGACTTTGAAATAAAGGCTGTGTAAAGAGAGAAAAAGGGCCAATCCAAGAAGATACAAGAATTATAAATATAAATATATATATATATATATACACATATGCATGCAACATAGGACCGTGCAATATGTAATGCAAATGCTAACAAGTATGAAAGGGGAAATTAACAGTAACACAATAATGGTGGGGGACTTTAACGCCCCACTCACAACTATGGATATATCAACCAAGCAGAAAATTAAAGGAAAGACAAATTTTAGAAGATAAAATGGACCAGTTAGACCTAATTATATATATGTAGGACACTTCACCCCAAAACAATGAATTTCACCTGTTTCTCAAGTACACAAGGAACCTTCTCCAGGATAGATTACATCCAGGGCCATAAATCTAGCCTTGGTAAATTCAAAAGAATTTAAATGATTGCAAGCATCTTTTCTGATTGCAAAGTGGAAAGATTAGATGTCGACTACAAGAAAAAAAATCTATTAACAATACAAACATATGAAAGCTAAATAAAGTGCTTCTAAATAACCAACAAATCACAGAAGAAATAAAAAAGGAAATAAAAATATGCATAGAAACAAATGAAAATGAAAACACAACAGCCCAAAACCTGTGGGATTCAGTAAAAGCAGTGCTAAGGGGAAGGTTCATAGCAGTACATGATTACCTCATGAAACAAGAGAAAAATCAAATAAAGAACCTAACTTTACACCTAAAGCAATGAGAAAAAGAAGAAATGAAGGACCCAGCGTTAGTAGAAAGAAAGAAATGATAAAAATGGGGCCGAAATAATTGAAAAAGAAACAAAGGAGACTATAACAGAAATCAACAAAACTGAAAGCTGGTTCTTTGAAAAAATAAATAAAACAGACTCATCAAGAAAAATGGGAGAAGAATCAAATCAACAAAATTAGAAATGAAATTGTAAAAATCACAACAGACAACAGAGAAACACAAAGGATAATAAGAGACTGCTATCAGCAACTGTATGCCAATAAAATAGACAATTTGCAAGAAATGACGAATTCTTAGGAAAGTATAACCTTCCAAACCTGAACCAGGAAGAAATAGAAAATTCACAGACCCATCACAAGCCCAAATATCAAAACTGTAATCAAAATTCTTCTAAGAAGCAAAAGCCCAGGACCAGATGGCTCCACAGGAGAATTCTACCAAAATTTTAGAGAAGAGCTAACATCTATCCTACTCAAACTCTTCCAGAAAATTGCAGAGTAAAGTAAACTGCCAAACTCATTCTATGAAGCCACCATCACTCTAATACCAAAACCAGACAAAGATGCCACACAAAAAAAGAAAACTACAGGCCAATATCACTGATGAATATAGATGCAAAAATCCTCAACAAAGTTCTAGCAAACGTAATAAAACAACATATTAAAAAGATCGTACATCATGACCAAGTGAGCTTTATCCCAGGAATGCAAGGATTCATTAATATCTGAAAATCAATCAATGTAATACACCATATTAACAAATTGAAAGATAAAAACCATATGATTATCTCACTAGATGCAGAGAAAGCCTTTGACAAAATTCAGCATCCATTTATGATTAAAAAAAAAAAAAAACTCTCCAGAATGCAGGCTTAGAAGAAACATACCTCAACATAATAAAAGCCATATATGATAAACTCACAGCAAACTTTATCCTCAATGGTGAATAATTGAAAGTATTTCCACTGAAGCAGGAACAAGACAAGGGTTCCCACTCTCACCTTTATTATTCAACATAGTTTTGGAAGTTTTAGCCACAGCAAACAGA